AACTCGGGAAAGATCATCTTTCCTCGTGTCTTGGGTCTCTGACTCAGGCGGTGGATGATCTTCAAATGGGTAAAGGCGTGCTAACACCACATTCTTGGCGGCCTGCCATCTAAGAATTTATTCCTGACACCCGAACCCACCCATGGGTCGTGCTCAACAATCACCCACCAGAGTAGGAACGTCAAGGCAAACTAGTGTTGCAAATAATGCCGAATATGGTCCGTGAAGAAGGTGATCGCCGGATGGGGTCTATGCGTGTGAGCCTGGCATTTGCCATACGCAGAATCCCTGTAGGCGCAGTCTTAGCCTCTGGCCATCATTTCTGACGGGCTGAGCTGAATGGTCCAATTTCCGCAAGTCCGCAGCTGACGTCTGCCAGGGTTATGAAGGCCGGTGGGGTACATCCTCGCCGAATCAGAATGACTGGTCAATAGTGAAAGGCAAGGGAAAAAAGATGTGATGACAGCCTTCCCACACTAGCTGCCAGGAATGTCGGCTGGTACAACCTCATCCGCCAACCACTTTTCTTGTGTGTTCCACTTAGCGAAACTAACCCGGGCAAAAATCCGAGCCTGCAGGAACTCTATCAGGGGAGGGGGGAAGTGTCCGCGTGCACCCTCTTTGACGGGCGCGGCGTAGGGCCCCGAGTCTTAGTTGTTCATGCATAAGCGGCAGTACTGCCCCATCTCCCTCGGATGTATATACACCAAGCCCACCTCCACGCTGGTCGGCACATAGCCTACCATCTGGAAAGGAGATCAATCTCCCTCCACACTACGGCCACATGAAGACTGGCTGAGCTATATCCTCCTTTGTACTGATTGTTGAAAACAATGGAAGCCACCCAGACGCCGTATGGCCCTGCACGGGTCCCAAAGCACTTTGTCCTGTGCTTTGATGGCACTGGAAACAAGTTTAGTGGGGATTCCTCGGATAGCAATGTTCTCAAGATCTTTCGGGTGAGTAAACTCCAAGGCAGGCCCCGCCAGGCCAGTTGCCCTTTGTGATCGGTTCGCTGACGGATTCTCTTCGGAACTTGAAGATGCTCGATCGGAGTAAGAGCCACCAGTTCCACTACTACCAACCTGGTATCGGAACCTACGTTACAAGCAAGTCGCTTTCTAGCCATGGACGAATCCAAAAAATCAAATCGGCATACTTCAAAGCCAAAGACTCCGCCGTTGGTTCCTCTTTTGACGAACATGTGATGGGCGGTTACAAGTTCCTCATGAGGTACTACCAAACTGGCGACGACATCTACTTCATCGGATTCAGTAGAGGCTCTTATATAGCGCGCTTTCTGGCCGAGATGCTCGACTATATTGGCTTACTCGAAGCCGGAAATGAGGAGCTAGTTCGATTCGCCTGGAAGACGTTCGCCAAATGGCAGCAGCGACGAGACGACAATAAAGAGGAGAAGGAAGAGAAGAAGAAGCTGTTTCGCTACATGAAAGCGTTCCGCGAAACATTCAGTCGTCCTATCAGTAGGATCAAGTTTATGGGCCTATTTGATACGGTCAATAGCGTTCCCAGATTCGAGTCGGCGTGGATGGAAAGAAGTAAATTTCCTTATACCGCCCGAAGCTCGGCTCGAGTCATTCGACATGCGGTCAGCATTGACGAGCGACGAGCCAAATTTCGCCAAGACTTGATCTCTGAGATCAGGCCATGGCATGATAAGAAGCACCCCATCCAAGAGCGAGGACGACAGTATATGCAGCATCTCCGCCATCCTCTGGCGGGTCGCAGAAATGGAAATGTACCTGTGCTCAGGGTCAACAGCGGCAATATCGGTACGGACGATGGCGCACCACCCGCTGAGCACGATGAGGAAGAGACAGCATCGGTCTACCGTAGTGCCCACGCCTCTCACGAAAATCTTCATGATTGCCATCCATACCGCGCAAGCAATCTTGCAGTGCCCGGAAGGAGTCTGAACCTCGCCATACCTATACCCACAGAGTCAACCGAGGATCTTAACTCCATCAGGAGTGGACAGTCAGGGCAGTTGTCGCTTAACATACAGCTCGCAACAGGCCAATTCGACGAAGAGGACGAGAGAAAACAAGACATACAAGAAGTATGGTTTCCCGGCTGCCACGCCGACATTGGAGGAGGATGGAAACGGGCCGAAGGCGAGGAATGGCCATTGAGCCATGCGCCCTTGGTGTGGATGGTCCAGGAAGCCAAAAAGGCCGGGTTGCAATTTGACCCGAAGAAGTTGAAGCAGTTCGAATGCGACGAAGAATACGACGGAGAATATACCCCAATCAACGAACACAGCCGATGGCACCCTCGACACGAATTCTGTCGCGATCCTATTCACAAGGAAGCTTTGAATGGTCAACATATGCTCAAGCTAGCCGGTGATGAGCGAAAGAAGAATGCTTCCGATTCAAGCACCAGCTTCCACAATGCCCTTGTCGCCTCCAGCACGGACGGCTTCTTGCACGACTGTCTGGAGTTCAATGCCGGCTTATCGCCACTCTCCGTCATAACCTGGCGCATTATGGAGTACCTTCCATTCCGACGGATGGACCTACAAAAAGACGGTTCGTGGAAGCCAATTCGGTGGCCCCTCCCTTGCGGAGAGGTTCGCGACATCCCCGACGATGCTCAGATCCATGTCTCTGCGCTACGTCGCATGCAGACAAATCCCAACTACCGCCCAGGTAACTTGATCATGGGCGGAGGCGGGCGCGGTAGAAAGATAGCACTGCCAGAATGCGGAATCGGGCAATGGGAGCTGAAAGCCCACGAGGGCGACCTCGTGCGGGAGACATATGTGCGGAAAAAGGATACGGACGCGACAATGTGTGAGGATGAACATCACCACTGATCGCATCGATTCTTCCACTGCTATCCTTTCATTTATGGCATGTAAAACGATTAACTGAGCCTCCAGTTTTCTTTCTCTTTCGCTTATTATTTCCTTATCCTTCCTGAATAATCTGTTCGGGTTGTCTGAGACATTTTAAAACTTAATGAGAGTTTTTGTGGGGGGTTCTTGAAGACCCAAGTCATAGTCTGATAGTTGGACTAAGAAGATACCATGTAGCCATTTTGGCAGTGCTAATTAATTTCTGAGAGAATTATTGTACATTCAATTCACACTTGGCTGATAGATGCTGAAAGCGTCATAGATAGTGATCACTACCTTGGCGGAAGAAACCCGATCTGTTCCATCGGCCACTGAAGCCAAGCTCCATAAACAGGTTCGCGGAACTGATTATAAATCTGCGACAAGATATGAGTACCACAGCCCTTCATACACCATACCCACTCCAACTGATGTAAAAGTACACAAAAGTATCCCAAAATCACCATAGAAAGGGGTCGGTATTCTTTCAAAAAGACAAGGAAGTCATGAGGAACACGCAGAAGCCACCTGAACACGTCTGACGTTTCAAGCCGCCATCCTTTCTCAAAGCATATCGTAAAGCATGTGCCCAAATGAAAGATCGCATCACAATAGACCTGCTTCTCGTGATCATCTGTGGCCTCATGTAGGACGAAACGGCGAAAGTCCTCGAGAAATTGGTGCTGCGTTGGCGGCTCGGGGATCTCGGAATGATCATGACGTTGTCGATGGACGCTGAATAAGGTTCGCAATGGCCCTGTCTTAAGGGATTCCTCGGCAAAGTCGATAATGGTTCCAGTGCCTCGAATGATTATTAGCCAGTTGGCGATTTCGTGGTCTTCCCAAAGGAGAAAGTTGCCCATTTTGAGCAGTTTGGCGCAGCAGATGAATGATGAAAGCGCTGAGAAAAGGAATAACGGCGTACAATTGTCGTATGTGATGTTGGCTATTTCTGGCGTTGCGAGTTTCAAGGATGCTTCGTGATGGTAGCTCGCCTGGGATATATACTGTTCCTGTTTTTCGGGGCGTAGAACGGCTAGATGCAATGCGGACACGGCTAGGATTGCGCGGAGGGTATAAGGCGCCTTGAACGCTATTTGGGGCACTTCAATGCGCCATAGTGTCTGGATAACCGGGTGGAATGAAAATGTATAGGCGGTGGAAGTACTGTAGTGATGCAGAAGCTCCAAGTCGGCAATGGCCAGTTCTGGCCCTGGTGCCGCCGCCATCTGCGGCTGACTTGCACCACCGCTCGGAGAGCTGGGGTTGCTTGGTCTGCAGTCGGATTGTGGGGTGGATGTTTGGCTAGAGAAGGAGTTTTGATCACCTAACAGGGATGGCTCTGCCATTCGAGTTGAGAGAGCAAACGAGCAATGGACTCCATGTCTCTTGCAATTGCCGCATGTCGGCTTCTCCTCTCCACACTGGAACCAGGTCAGCATCGAGATCTCAAATGCATGGCGTGTTCGGCCGCTAGTATGCGTGGACGTACCTTGACTTTTCACAACTTGCATTGTTGACAACCGCTGCGTGACTTCCGATGAGACCGGCGGCCTTTGATAGTAGTTGTTGTGCATTTTCGCCAGGGTTCGTGTATGCTCGGCGACACCATGTGTAGGTTGTACCAAGACCAATCGTGTACATATGAATAATTGAGAAGCAACCCGAGTATTTGGCAGATGAGAGATATGATACGAGTAAAAATGGAAGGCTAACTAGAATTCGACTTGGCTATCCGGGGTCCAGGATTTCAAGTGAGCTCTGGGCAGTAACAGAATGCATCTCTTTCGTTAATGCCTCTTTAGATGCCGTGGATGCCTGCAATAACCATTGCACTGTTATAGCACTAAGAGTGCAATTATTTTTGGGCAATCAGGCTGCCACGTTCCAGCTGTATTGCATCGAGGCCTTCGTCACAGCAGTGATACTTGAATCATGGAAGCCTGAGCCGGCAAACTTAGCTCTTCTTGGCTTGCACTAGCATAATCTGCCAGGTGCAAACATGGCAAACGTGACCCTTACGGCTCCATTCTTTTTATGCTTGCGATGTTTTGGCTGACTAACTTATGCGCATAACTATCAATGACTTTAGTTAACCAGTTATTATGCCTTTTGGTAATCCGCTACAATATCTACAGCACTCTTTGCGGTTGCTATCTCAGTAAGGCTTGGGTGGTATAAATTTCCATTATGGATAAAGCCTAGTTCATTTACATGACTCCGTTTTCAAAGGCAGAAAGAACCCTCTCTCTGAATGCTGTATCAGCTACCTTAGGACTCTTAAAACCACGGTCCAGATGTCGCCGGCAAATAGCTTCAACGTGCTCCTCATTCTTGAGCTGTATTTGGTTCGCTGTCGGGGTCGCGCTTGAACCTGTCCTAGTCTCAGCATCTGGTTGGAATCAGCACAGAGTTTATGGGGTAATCATCAATATGAGCTGCTTACCTGCCGTGATGCCAATCTGCGAGGATCCTCTCTGCCATGCCTGTTTTGTTGGATCCGCCCCTTCTCGCGAAGGGCCAAAGCCAGGATATTTGGAAGCAGCTGCATCACATTCATCATCGCCAGCGATCTAATAGTTGGTCAGCCCTATGCAGTCAACAAGTAATGAAACCCTTCTCACATCATAAGTCGCCGCGATATCCGTGTCTTCACGTTTCTCGCCTTGTGCCTGGTGCTTCTTGACGCTTTTGACTCCGTATGTGACGGTGTTCACTACTAGTGCAGTGCCTGATACTTTCTAGGTGAGTGACAGACTATATCAAATTGGGGTTGAAAGGGGTTACTGACTCGTGAATGGCAACAAGGCAATGTGTCCAAAGAATTTTGCGGTCCTAACACCAACATCACGAGCGACACTCCGTTTAACTTTCCTCTCCTCGTCTGTCGAGCTCTCCTATAGCAGATTTAGCCCAGAATAATGTCAAGAGATGTCACGGAAGACAAATACCTTTTGACGACCTGAAATCATGCTAACAAGGTCCGAAGCGGTTACTATATCCTTTGCCGCATTGGCGAATCCATTCCAGTATTCCTTAGCTGTACCATCATAAGAGGCGGAGCTCTCGGCTTGTAATTTGTAGATGCAACGGTTGATCCTGAGTTCACAGGAGTTGACAATTAGTGTCCAGGCAGACATGCAACATTCAGCAAACCGGTCCCACTTACAGCACGATATCAGTGATTTTGATCCGGCTCTCCTGTACTAGAACTGCAGCTGCCTCGGTTGATATCACGAGCGATGGCCTGTTCCAAATCTGGTACATGGCTAGATCGTGTTTAGTGATACCGCATGTCTGTACTTGAGAAGGCAAAGAGCGATAAAAGGATCGAATAGCATTTTCGAGTCCTGCCTCTTCATCCACTTGTCGCTTAATGGCTTGAGTTGACTGTTGAACATCTGTACGGAGACCAAATGCTATTGCCTGCGCCAGGCCTTCAGAGGTAAGCGTTCTGCTCATCAGTGGCGAAGCGCCGGCTCCGATTTTGGCAATTGTATGTGCAGTTGACAGATGACTAGTTAGGTCAGTAGCAGCACACCTGCTTGATCAAATAATGTTGAGTAGGCTTACTTTTCTGTTGTGGCGATGATCACACTTGGCTTTCCGTACTGTAGAGCCAATTGTGTGCTGGATGGGCTTCCATTGTGTATTACAACAGCCACTCTCGGAAGTAACCACTCTATATATAGGATTTATCAGCATCAAGGTAACAACAATAATATAAGTGACGTTTTCAGCATACCAAGCGGAACAGACTCAATGATGAGCACGTTGGTACTGTTCAATAGCTCACCAAGGCGTCTACAGTCCCTGGAAAGTAGGACACGGTATCCCTTCTTCAAAATAGCATCTTGGATTATCAGCACCAGACGGTATATGTCCTTCATGCTAGTCTCTGGTAACATCAGAAAAATAGGCGCGGCGCCCGAGACCAGAAAATATTCCAGGTCTTTTCTGGGTGTGAAAGAAAGATCACGTTGCTCGAATAAGTCACCCGAAATCTCTGTGGCTCTCATCAGCTTCAAGCACTCCACTCAAGGGTCTATAGCAGCAATAAGACCTACCGTGGTTACTACTCCAGTCATTTGGCCGCGGAACTAAAACCTTTGAACAGAAATACGTGTGAGGAAGTTCGTGATCAGCCATGAGCCTTGCCGCTGTAACCGGAGATATTCTCATCAAGCCCAGAATCTGTTGTCGAAATTTGTTGATGGGCTTGAGTATACTGTCCGAAAGTAATGAACTACATGTTAGCCTAGTCGGAAAAGTCAAAGGTTTCTCCTGCTTACTCACACATTCCACGTCGATTCCTCAACTAACGCATAAGAAAGCACGTTTGAAGTAGATTGGTCGACGCCATCGTATGGGTTTATCCGGGCATGTGGATGTGCAAATGCTCTTGTCGGGGTTTGAGGCAAGGCGGACATGATATGAAGAGGGATTGAAAGTCGTTCAGCACAGTGGATGTGGGCACGAGCCATAGGATTTGCAATGATCGCGTCTGCTAGAAACGGTCGGCGGTCCCCCTTGTAAGGAGCAATGCAAGCCCTCCAGCATCGATGGTAGACCTCCTAATATGATTGCTGCACTCTCCTCATATATTGAAGCCGAGCCTGAGCCTCATCTGAAGGATGGGCATCACCCATGTTATGCTGGCAAAGTTAACCGAGACTCTTATTCATAGCTAGGGAGTATGTATAGCAATTACCATGGATAGGGGTAGCTCATGGTCATAAGTTATGGCGAAGAAATCAAGACCCTGACTTCTGACCAAGTATTCGCAAGATGCAGCCGCAGCAATTCGAACTCGATGCGAGTCTCTTGAAAGTTGCTTTGCCACAGCTATAAAAGGTCTTATACTCTCTATTTTCGCATTTTATTAGCGAGGGGTCACAGCATAAGGCAATCTAGTGCCAAATACCTTCAACAACCATCAGCACAATGTCCAAAGGTGGAGGCGTGACATTCTCCCGTGTCTGGTTAATCTGCCCAGTATGTTGAGGCTCCTTTTCGTCCAAGCCCACGCTCACTAATCGTGCCTGCGCTTTTGGTCGCATAAAGGCCTGAATGAAAGCAGATGTCCGTGCTGCAAGGTCTGGGTTGAGACTAAATTTCTCGTCTTCTGTGCGGGTTAATTTTGAGCAATCCGACCTTCAGATTGAAAGCCCCAAAGGACGATAAGGGTCTTACCAGCAGCAGCACAGTAGTTTTCTAAGTCGCGAGAATCGTTCGTGAATTTGAAAGCAAAGTCCGGCTCAATCGTGAAGAGCGAGATTTCGGAGGATACACACGAATTGCGCGCTGATGAGTGTGCAGGCGGAGGATCTTCGAAACACTCGTCATGTCTACTATAATCCTCCACAAGCTTGGTTTCTTTATTATCGGACATGATTGTGGTGCCTTAGACAGGCTGATGCAAGTTCTTGCAAAGTGATGGGATAATTGTCGAAGTGAAAAGGAAAGAGAGACTTATTTGCCAGCGGAAATCCCTTTCCCTATTTCTGGCGTCACTGAGTCCATACTCGATGGGGGATAGTCACTAGCATTTCGACTACATAAATTGGAGCCTTGGAGCGAAGTGATAAATATAGTAGTATTTGGACCCCTAGGCAACATGTACGGGGCTGAGTAGAACCGACCGCATTGGAGTTAGGGTAGCGTTCGTGGAAACTACTAGTCTTCACATAGCAAGAGAATAGATGCCATGGCCAATGACTTTCTTTTGGAACATGGATCCACGGAGAATCAGACACGTTAAAACGGTCGAACGACAACAATCCACTTGGACTGCCTGAAGAAGCTTTCGGGTTCGTATTCGGGTTCGGGAACAAGGCCCAGGCTTTGATCTATTTCAAGGACCCACCCAGCTCGATATCAACCATGAAAACATCGTGGCCATCTTGGGATCATATACATTGTGACAAGTTGAAGTGGTAGAGTTGAACCCGAACACGATCGGTGTCTAACGGATGCTACTGCCTAAGATTACGTCTTGAGGCAACAGAAAAATCTTTCTTTCGACAGCATGAACTACACCTTTAAAAGGGCTACAATAGCCCTCTTTGCATCTCAAACATTGCCAATTCCGAGCCTCCTTGACAAACACTCACCATAGCTTCTTCCTGGAAGCCTCGCAACTATGCTCTTCCCCAGATCCACTTTCGTTCTATATGAGTACGATCCCAGCCTGGCAGCTGCGGTGATATTTGCTGCGCTGTTCATTTTGACCACGGAATTCCACTTCCATCAACGATTTCGGAGCCATGCCAAGTACTTCAATCCCTTTATTGTTGGAGGAGTGTGTAAGTTAGACTTTTGACTCGAGAGGTGCGTCGATGTGTTTGCTACCATGTACTGACTTACGCTATTAAGTCCAAGTAATTGGCTACATCGCTCGCGCCAAAGCCCATTTCGACCAGACCTCAACGACTCTATACTCTGTACAAACCCTTCTTCTTCTACTGGCACCAACTCTCTACGCAGCATCGATATACATGGTCTTAGGGAGGATCATCACCTTCCTGAATGCGCCACATCTAAGCGTCGTTCCCGTGAATTGGATGACAAAAATCTTTGTCTCCGGCGACATTCTGTCTTTCATCCTCCAAGGTGCAGGTGAGTCAGTCAAAAGGACCCTTTCTACACACGGGGATGTATATACTAATTTCATACCCCAAAGGCGGCGGCATAATGGCCAACGGCTCCACAAGCTCCATGAAAATAGGCCAGTGGGTCATTGTAGTGGGTCTATGTGTGCAGCTACTTTTCTTCGGAGCCTTCTTAATTGCCTCCATTACCTTTCACTGCAGAATAAACCAAAACCCTACAGCAGAATCAGATAAGACAATAAGCTCCGCAAAAAGGTGCTTGCCGAAGGACTGGAGGGGTCTACTATTCGCATGCTACTTTGTCAGCGTTCTGATCCTCATCCGATCGGTTTACCGTCCTATTGAGTGTGCGCAGGGTAATAGTGGCTATGTGATTAGCCATGAAGTTTTTTCTATATCTTCTCGACGCGTCGATGATGTTCCTGGTCATGTTGACCATGAATCTGTTTCACCCGTCAATTGTTCTGCAAGATGGCGTTTATCATCAGCATCTTGATCTTGAGGAACTTAGCTTGAGGCGTGAGGGTGGAGACGAGTGAGGAGTTTGTCTCTAGACTTCTCCTTGTATTCGATTCATTAAACTTCTATCTTTCATTTTGGTCTGTTTTCGTTTCCTTATTGTTTGTCGTGCTCCTGCTTCTTCATGTATACTGATTTATGGCTTTACATTTTTCTGATATACCCTTTCTTCAATCTATTCTACTCTTCAAGATATATAATCACCACGTTGCCTACTGTTATGGCCTAATGATCTCCGACGCTTTGTGAATGATTCATTTAACCTGACGCAGAAGTCATCTTGCTACTGGGAGTAAAATCGTACATGAAATCTAGGGGCAGTGTCATGGCATATTTATGTATTTAGATTGATCTGTTTCTTCCCTCCTCCTCCTGCCTCATCTCTCTCAATCGTTCTTTTTCCTATTCCCACTACTACTATATTGCTCAGTATAGTAGATAATGTATGATTACGGATAATTTACAGACACTACATTTTCCGTCCGAAAGGACCGACAGCTACTTAGACGATCATAATTTACCTCTCAAGAGAAAGCAGTGGTTTCTTATATTGACGCAACACGCTCTGTTCTTCACAAGGCACAGTGCAATCGGGATCTCTCGACCAGATAAAGATTTCATTCCTCAACTTGAATTATACGAATGTATCTAAATACTTGTTCTAGCTCAAAACATCCTCCTATCCAACACTGGCCTGTACGATCTAAACTAGTAACAACAGCCAACAAAGAGAGCGTCACTGCCATCCCATCTTTACAATAAGCTCGTCCTTCCCCACAATCTTATCCTTCAGTTACCAAGCTTGAACCCACCCCAGTTCAACCTCGTAAAAGTACCCAGAGGATCATAGCGCTCACGGATCTCTCTCATCCGCTGTACATTCTCGCCAGGGAATCCAGCAAAAGGATCCTGCCAATCACCTCCATCACCCATGTAAATGAAGTCTCTGGCAAGTCCACTGCACTTGTTGATACCATGTAGATGCTCCACCAGCTGACGAACCCACGCCTCGACGCGAAGATCATCTTCAGCGTTGTCCCATCCTGTACTTAATTGCCACCGTATCGAGAGTATGTTAGCATGATACCCCGGTCCTACTGAGTACTGGTGAAGGAAACTCACAGATCGTAGGCTCTTCTGCTAGTCCCCAGACATTACCGATTCCGTTGGTGTTTCCTACTTTGACAGCACTTGCAGGAGAAATGTTGATAACGAAAGTAGGGTAGAGACCTTGGACATCGGCAATTTGGTTCACTGCTGCCTTCCACGTCTGATACATTGAGTATAAGACGTCAGAGTCGGGATACATTGAGTGATGGCCAAAGGTTACGCTACTATGTGGTTAGCTCTCTGGCGGCCGAAAACATAACGGGTGAGCGGGCATTTACCGGAACATTTGCTTGGGAGAGTCGAGGTTCGCAGCCTACTGCTTCGAGGTCGTAACGTTGCTGACTTTATACACACCGGGGATAGCAGTGAAGTTAGTAAATTTCGAAGGAGGGTTGCTGATACCCTCTTGGACTCCCAAAAGTAAGGGTGAGACGCTTCCAGTTGTGGCGTTGTAGGTGATGGTTAGAACAGATCCAGCGGCAATCGAAGTGTCACTATCGGCAACAACCCAGTCGCATGATGCCTTGATAAAATCGTGGACTGCCGTTTCGTTGAATTCTTGGATTGTTGTGCTGATATGAGGCATAGAGTACGTCTTGAGGGTGAACTTGGTGACAACGCCAAAGTTGTTCGCGCCTCCTTTCAAAGCCCAAAACAGATCGGGATGCGAAGTAGCATTGGCGGCAACCTGCGTGCCATTTCCCAGGACGATGTCGTAGTTGACCACATTGTCCATGGCAAATCCGTACTTGTTGATAAAGTAGGATACACCACCAATTAGGGTCAAACCAGGCACGCCGATAGTCTTGAGGCGTCCGCCGATGGCAGCGCGACCGTATGGGTCAAGCGCAGAATATACATCATACCACGTCATCCCTGGGGCGACATCGATAGTATCGTTGTTCACTTGATATTCTTTCATGTTGTCGAAGGCCAAAAGCACACCGCCGTCAATGTTGTTCGATCCGGGATACTAGATGGCATATAGTGTCAATGAGAATACAAGCTTCACGCTAGGAGATTTCATACATTCATATGTCCTCCGCCACGAACCGCAAATTGAGCACCGCATGTGGCAAAAAGACCGATAGCATCGGCCACCTGCTCAGCTGAAGTAGGAAGAAAGATGCATGCCGGGTCAAGGTCTGCTCGAATGTCCCAGTAGTTCGTGACCTGGGAGGTGTAGTTGGCCGACCCAGGGTAAATCATCAAGTTTGAGTATGATACAGCAAGATTGTTGCATGCACACCTAGCGCCTGTTTCCAAGTCGACAGTACTAACGGCGGTTGTGCTGGTTGCATTTATGCTTCTTTGACCAAGACCGACGAGGGATGAACTGAAGGCAGAGGACGCCAACGAGGCGAGAACTAAGGTAGATTTCATTGTCAAATACACAACACTTTGATCCAAATTGACTTAAGGATAGCGGATTGCCACGGTCAAAACGAGCTCTTTATAACCTTTTCATCTTCAGGCTATATACCACGACCAATGCTGAAATTTGATTGCCTTCGGATTGTTTCCGATCCGTTACATTTTATCAACACAAGGAAGATCATCAGTCTGTTTCGAGACTGACTTTGCGTATATTTGCGCTGGGATACAAAAGACGAGCAAAGCAGCGTGGATGATGCACGCCCATGGTCGTTGTATAGAGTGAGTGGAGTGTAGAGTGGGGAAAGATCCGAGCCGTTGTCGGGTTCGGGTTCGTATCACGGGCTCGGGTTCGGGTCTGTCGCAGCACAGGAAGATCATCCATGCAGCCTAAAATCATGTTGTTCCAAATATCCTGATAGTCTCATATTTGAGCGCATCGGTCGAGCCAGATGGTCCGTATTTTACAGCTATATGTGGCCGGTCATGCTGTCAGGACTTGGTCCTGACACAGTGAGCCGGGTCGGGAGGATTGAAGATAGTATAATTAGCACTATGTAACAAGACTGCATGGAAGGACATCAACAGACTGCATCCCAGGGTGCAGCGAGAACAGCATATCCGACTTGGCTTGGCATTTTTACAATTAGAATATCAGGGCCCGAGGCTCAAGGCAATCTTTGCAGCGTGTCCTGAAAGGCTATTGCGTTAGTTCTAGGGGATAGAACGGTATGGTCCTGCGGCAAGAGGCCCTAGTGAAGTAAGATTAAACAGCTTCGCCTTCTTCTGATGTTAGTTTTGACATTCAAAGTGCAAATAAGCTGAGAAATTTTAACGTATACAGTCGGAGGATACTCCCTGTGTCAGTTTCTTTATCCATCTCGAACAAACAGAGCCATCGGTTTTAGGTAAGTCTAGATGGTTCAAAAACCCCCGGCTTCATAAAGCAAGGCACTGCTATGACCATCGTACTATGCACAGCAACCTGAAGGGTTGCTCATAGGCAGCCGTTCGCGCGCTGGCGCTCCGAATAATGATCTTGTGTGATGACGGCTCGACTCAAGTAGTAAGGTGTGTACATGGACACTGAGGTTTGGATAGATTCTCAGTCGGCGACATGGTTGTATATCATAGCGCTCATGATACTATATCCCTCGACTATATAGCCGCATATAACTTGTGGAAGACACGCGCAGGATACAGAAGGTCAGTACGGGAAAGAAAGACATGGAAGTAGCATAGCCATTCCTGATAACCGCAGAGGTTTGAAATTAAATGACTTGATCGGTCGTGACCAGTGTTCACTACGTTAAGCCCAATAATGATAGTAAGATTCCGTTGCCTCCCGCAAAATAACGCTTCGTACATAATCATCACGAAGCAATATTACTGAAGAGATGGCCAACGCTTGTCATTGGCTCTATCATTCCAGTAGGATTATATGGACTGGCCATAGCGATAAACGTTCGCTTGTAGGGCCAGGCCGGTGAGCCTCATGGCTATCCGAACGCTTCCGTGACGATCATTCCAAGCTAGGGCGTCCGAATGGCGCGACAGGCCAAGCCACTGTCACCTATATCTCGGGGTGCCTGACTCTCGGTGATGCAGGGATGCGATACGAATGCGATAGTCAGTTGACGACCACATGCTTGCGCTGACGGAGACACCGAGAAAGAGGGACCAAGTGGCTGAGCAAATCCAATGCCCTTCAGTAGATATGCAGCATGCATTACATTAGTGTGGTGGTTCTGGAAGCATGTGGAATGTCTAGGCCGGCCCAGACTTCCCAATCAGGTCTGCATCTTTCGAGTCGGAGATTTTCTCCCCTTTACACTGTCCTCAGATCAAGCGAGATAGGGCAAGACATATTCTGTAGGAAGTACATTGATCAAATTGTAGTCAACTGGTCTGGCGTAGAATGGAATTTGTGCCTTCAGCTGCGGATTAGGCCGACGGCGTTTGCCGAAAACTGAGAGAGGCCGAGTAAATAGATGCACCTGCCAGCATTAGTGACACAAGCTTCATCGAATCATGACGATCAGCATGGCCATGACAGAGCTCCGATGATCATCATGTGAGAGACGATGAGGGAAGCTGAACGATGGGTGGAGGGCGGAGGGAAGAATAAGAAGCAAGAAGAGGGAGGGAAGGCAGTCAGGTGGCGGCGGGTGGGCCTGAGCAGCGCCTCGTGTCTTCCCTTCTTTCTTTCTTTCTTTTCGTTTTCCCGATCCATCTTCAGCGCTTGCTTTCCCCTTCCATCTCTTCTTGACCTCACCACTCAACTTTCCCTCCCTCCCTCCCTCTTCTACCTCCTATCGCACTTCTCCCACGTTCTTGGTTTGGGTTTTACAAACACACCGGCTGTGTCCGGAGAGGAATAGTGCAAAGGGCAAATTTATTCTTGTGTTCCCTCCATCCACCCCCCAAGTCCGAAAGTTCGTGTTCCACCCCCTGAGCTGCGACCTCTCCACTCCTACCGCACCCCCAGGCCAAATCCAAATTCGACTTGGATTCGGGTCGGTGACACTCCCTGGTTCGACTCAACTGTGGTGACTCGCAGAGTATTCGCCCTTGGCCCACCAGCATGAGGCCCGTTTAGATCGACTCCCTGGTTGCAGACAGACATGGAAGCGTCACACCCACCCCCCGAGGGGATAATGCTTCCCCCAAGTCCCGTTGGTTCGTCCGATTCATTCGACTCGACATCGTCCGGCTCTGCCGCAGAGCAACCCGGCGAGGCAAAATGCAGCGATAACGTCATGATCGCTTTGTCGCTCACTCCTGATCCGCCGGTCCAAACTCCGACTCGCCTTCCTTTTGCCCGTTCCCATTTCCGATCACGATCAATGGTTGAGGTCCCCGGCCTCCCTCCGATGACGCGCGCCCACTCGTCCCCAGGGCTGGACTCACGGGGCAGATATATATTCGTCAACGGTCGCGGCGCTTCAACAAATGTGGGCGATCCGGCGGCCAAGCGCTATCTGCCATTGCAGGTCACCACTGGAGATGGCCTAGAATCCAGAATGGTGCCCCTGAATATCTCGGAGACTATCTCAGAACATGCGGAGTTGGATACTAATCTTGTCTCCTCTCCCTCTCAAATTGACTACCACCCTACCTCGCCGGTTTTCTCTCATACTCTACCGCGCGTCAACCGTCGCCGACCGTCGTCCCCCCTTCATTTCCAGAGCCCAAGCTCGTCCGTCCACTCTATGGGAAGTCCGTCCGGCCATTCCTCCCCTGTGATCTACAACATGAGGTACAACGAATCCTACCCCGGTTATTCGGCGTCTTCAACCTCATCTATACCCTCAACCCCGACAAGCTTGCGGTCTCGTAGCCCGAGCATCTCGTCATTGGAAACTATTCCTGACATTCCCGACGCTGAAGCCGCTGCGATCGAGGCGGACCGGATCGCGGCTCTGAAAGCTGCAGCAGATAAGGCGGATGAAGCAGAAGCGGCCAGCAGCGGCAATCGAAGGCGCGGGGCATCCGATGCTTCTGGCCCCTCCAGCGGTCTAATGACAATGCGGGCGGGATCGGTTGGCTACGGACCCCGAGCTGACAAGCGGAAACGTTGGAGTGTCTGTGGAGCAGAGCGTAGACAGGACCTGGACCTGGAAACGATCTGGGAAGATTGAATGCGATGCAAAGCCAGCATCAATTCCTTGCTACGACTATTAGTCCGTTTCACGGACATTCTCACACTACGCATCACTTGGACCAAGCTGGCCGGTGACCCGCCCATACTGAACCGATCAACAACCACTATGCCCGACACGCACGCGGTCCGCCGCGTTCCAAACATTACCATCCACAAGGCAAACAAACCCCAACCATTTCGGCAGAAATTGCCCTCGTGCCTGAACCTCTCGCTACCTTTGCTTGCTCCCTCTTTTTCTCTATGTATCAAGCGCTCAGTTCGAAAATACCCAATATCTTCTATCGTTTCACGTCTTTATCTTCAGCGGTCAAACCCACCAATTTCATCCAGGAAGGCCGCAGAGTTCGATAATCGCGCAGGTCCGTGGATGCTCTACAAGTCGAGTTTCGTTTCTTATCCTATCTGGGTCGTTTTTCCAGCGTGGCGCATGGTACTTTGATTTTCAGTTCTACCTATCCGGGGGCGTTTCGCTTACTGTTGCCTTCTTAACCTTGCACGCTACTGTTCGTTTTATCGTCGGGCAACAGTTTTTTGATTGATCCATTGATTGAAGAGCAATATGTGATTCCCCTGTTATCTTTGTCTCTCGTGTTACTTACTCTGTTCGTCTATTGCACTTGTGCGTGGGGCGGCTTTGTGTGTCATTCATGTACTATGAATCTGAGATTCACCGCGTCTATCTGTTTGTTTGCTGGCCGGCGGCCGGTGTGCGGGGTGTAAATAACTGTTAGCTGGCTATAACTGCAATCCATACATATCTAAGGCTGTACAACAACCACACAAGTTTCGCGTATAGTTCTCTCCCAACACCACCGTATATGTGTGCATATATTTCAAAAAAAACAGCGAAAGGAAAAAATAGGCCAGAAACTTAGCAAAGCAATCAAACAAGCATTAAACCAACCCAAAACAACCAAACTGTCTCAACTTAAACAAGTAGATAGATAGTAGTGAAGAGATAGTAGGCTCACATTATAAAAGCCCCTTCGGCGTAGCAGAAGGCAACGAATCGTCCCTCTCCAACCCAATACCAAGCCTACCCAGCCCATACAGATTGCAAATTTGGCCTGCAGCGCGCTCACCACTCCAATACGCACCGGTGGTGGTGCCCAGCGCCACAAACGGCGCTGTATGTTCGCCCGCGAACCAGACACCGCGGTCTGCGCCCATGCCCGCGCGCAAGACCTCGATGTCTCGATCTCCCTGAGTGAGGCCGACTTGGAAGTTGCAGTAGGAGCCGTTACCAGCGTAGGGGTCGTTCTGCCACTGCGTTGCGGCGAAGGCGATTGGTTTGCAGTCTGGGGATGAGTCTGAGTAGCCGTAGAGGCGGGAGTAGAAGGGATGGAGGAAGTCGTTGAGGAAGTTGAAGTATTCTTTGGATGAGGGATCGAGGCCCTTTAGCTTGGAAACAATGTATGTGGAGCAGGGGCCAAAGGTGTAGAAGAGGAGAGTGGGGTGTGCGCAGGAGGAGGTGGGGAGAGCGGCGAGCGAGATACATTCTTGGTTCCAGAGGATGTTGTTCGGTTTTTCAGTGTATTCTGGGTTGAGGAATTGGGCAAAGGTGGGGTTCTCGAAGCTGTTGTATTCTAGGTTGGTTTTGAGGATGTCGGCGGTCTTGGGATCCTGGGGGCCGGCGTGCCAGTATGCGCGGGAAAATGTAACGTAGACTTTTTCTAGTCTGCCGTAGGAAATGCTGTCGATGGCTTGATTAAGTCGAGGGGGAAGGTCTGGGGTGAAGGCTTGTTTGTTGCGTTTGAGCCAGCCGAGTGGGCAGGTGACGACTACTTCGTCGAACTGGAAGGTCTCTCCTGATGCTGTTGTGAGATTCACTTTGCTGGGGGATCCCATGGCTTTCCGGGACTCGGAGTCGACTTTCACGATTGGTTGGCTGAAACGGATATCTGCGCGTTGGAGAGCGTTCTGAGAGACATACTTGAGAATGTTCTTGTATGTCGATGCTACAAAGAAGTTATCTGTATTGATGTGGTTAGTTGGATGCTATCATCGTGTGGTGAGGTTGGTACTCACTCCCATCTATGCACTCCTCAAGACAGAAGAATTTCAAGCTCTGCCTCTCGATTGGATCACCGACGTACGCTCCCCATAGTCTGCAGGATTCAATGCAAAGCTCCTTCTCGGCAGCGCTGAGGTCTGTCTTCTCCACCTCCTCGCGGAAGAAGTCAAGCAGGCTTCGTTCAGGTGGAATGATATCTTTGTGCGTATTGCTATATTCAAAGGCCTTCTCGATAGTCGTCCACAGTACCGCTGATACTTTAGCAGCTAGTGCATCGTCAATTGCCTTGCCATCTGTGGAGATCAGAGCCTGATTCCCTTCAAAGTCTTCGAGCACTGTCCTTGTTGCTTCTGAAATCGCAACAATCGGGTTTTTCCCAGTGCCATGTATCCAGTTCGGGCCCCTGATAAGAGTCAGCCTTGATACCACGGAACATAATCATGGCTAGAAGGAAGAAAGAGGCGGAATCACATGTCTATAAGATGTTCGTGGATCTTCTGCTGATGTACCTGCTGGAAGTTAGTGGACCGCTGACTCTGACTATAGACATTTCTCAAACGCACCCGGCCGCCGACTCTGTCTCTCGCTTCAAATAGTGTCACCCGGGCACCATTCTGGATAAGAATGTCAGCGCATCTCAAGCCCGATAGACCAGCCCCAATGACAGCCACGTTGGGCCTCCTGCCCATTGTGATAGTCATATGAAAGAAAAAGCTTGTCTCCCGAGACTGAAACGGTGGTTGATCTTCCTTTGGAATTATTGTATGCAGTAAGCGCCTGTTGTGCTACATGAAGTCAGCAGCTATCCGATCCACTCGAGATAAGCCGGTGCATATTGCAGCCGCTACTACTTGATATGGTCATAGGACAGACTTGGAAAAGCCCACACCTAGAGGAAATGATGGATGAATTGAATCGACCTACCCAGGTATGAAACCGACTTGATCTTAGTCTACAAATCACAGAGACGAAACCGTGAAGCATCCAACCACGGGTGGCGGAGAGAAAGACGACGAGGCGAATACTTCCTAGTTATCAGGGAGACAGACGAGACCCGGCGGTTATATGTCAGCGGGAAGCCACGTGCTTGCAGAACCCGCCCACAGCCATCTTCTGCAGTCCACCTACTCCGCCTATCTACTCCCTACCATTTCCCCCCTTCACCCCCGCCTCGCCCTGGTTATCCGGATCAGTCCATCACAGGCGCTTACGTATCAAACAAGCCAATTATTCTATCATCTTCCATTGTTTGTTTGTATTAGGCTATTCGGCTGTAATAGCACTTGGATATCATCTGTGGCGTGGCACAGGGTTTCGTCATCAAGTCCGGACCCATGGTTGCAGCTGCCTGGAGCAAACCTGCGAGCTGCACCTTAAGGGAACGTAAAGCAATCATCTCACAATCATACACACAATCACCCGCTTGCTGGCCTGTAACCTCCAATATTGACATTACAAAGGAAAGAAATGGATATGAAACAAAGGGGGAATGATGAAAAGAAAGAAACAAAGGAAATGATGATCATCTCACAAGGACACAAGGGGAAGCTTATCTCATCTCCATGCCCCTTGGCTCAGAGATAGCAAGCCTTGAATGCAGTCAAGGTCTTCTTCCTGACTTGCACCTCCCCCGCCGTTCATGAAAGCCGACACCTCGGCGTCCATCTCAGGCACATCCTTGTCGATTACCCCGCTCACTCGTTGGTGCTGAGACACCCGTGAGTATCTTCCACCGGATGCCAGATCCCTGTTGGCTTTGCCATCCCTACTGTTGGCCTCTCTTAGTATGGAACGCCGGGAGTGATGATGAGAAGCGGTCCGCCGGCGGACATGCGAGGTTCGTGTGCCCGGTATCCAGTTCTCCTTATCCGAGTCACCCCACTGTAACTCCAGGTCATCATCTTTCGTCGACATCGTCTTCGAATTAGACAACTTGTCACCAAGGGTCGCACGGCCAGTCTCCAGCCGGCCCAATGAAGAGACCGTGCGGGAGATCTTGCGTCTTTTGTCGCCAGTCGGCTTAGGGACAGGGGTATTAAGATATTCGGAAGCGTTCAAGGCGTTGTTATGCCTTGCCGACATGCTCCTCGTTAGTGAACGCTGACCACGTGCGCGGAATAGAGCGGGAGAGCCAGCGTTCGGTGCGCTTTGGGAGCTGGTCGGAGTAGAAAGTGCACTTCTTGCATCAGTGTCAAAAAACGATTCCCAGTTGCGAGGATCTCTTGATCTTCCAAACAATTTCTCGGTCTCCATGGAGCCACCACGCGGCGTACTGAATGCCGCAGCACTGTTACTCCTTCGAAGTCCTGTAATCCTTGGCTTTCGCGCTGAGAACATAGAAATACGGTTCTTTGACGGGGACGGTTCGCCATCGGCACGGATCACAGCTTTTCCATCAGAGGACATGGCGATCCGCAGGGCATTTCGTCCTTTCGGAGGAGATGGCGTGAGCTCATCTTCTTTGCGTACCATAGCTTCTCCGTCGAACGAGAGCGATATCCGAAGGGATGGTGGCGACTTCATCGGTGTTGATGTTCCCTGCACGAACGGTCGATTGCCACGAGTTTCGGAAAATGATCGTTTCCTCTTAGCAGAGGTCGGGTTGGAATCGTCGACATGGGTTTCATCGTGCACCAGGGCTGGTTGTTGTTCTGGCATCGTCTCGTCTAGGGCTCTCTGCGAGTCCTCCACAGCTTCTGTAGCGAGGCTTGCTTGAGAGCTCAACCCTGACTGCTCTAGCTCATTATTGTCGCCATGCACCACGTCGGATTCGAAAGACACATGATCGGACGATTGCGAAGCAACGTTCCTGTCCTGGCAGTTGTCCTCTGATTGCTCTGTCCCGCTCGAAGATCCTGGCTCTGTCGGTAGGTTGTCATCGGATACCCGTTTTGACGCGTCGGACACGTCCGACCGAGGCGCGAGAAGCTCATGAGGTTGCAACGGTTTCGATTTCCGACGATCATTTTGACGGCGATTTTGGAACCAGATCTAATATCCAGACACATTAGATTGCACGTCAGACGTAGATGTTACGTGGTTATCGCAGACATACTTGCACTTCCTTCTCACCCAACGAGACGCGACTGACTATACTGGCTCGGGCCGTTTTGTCTGGTTTCGGGTTCCGTTGATATTCGGCTTCAAGGATTGCGTGGTCTTCGGGGCTATACGAGCACAGCAGTGACGTGTTAGCGATCTACTGGCAGCGAGACCCATTGGGCCAATAAGGACTGGAATTGATTTCCGTGCATACCTAGTCCGACGCCGCTTTTGCCGTGCCAGCAATTTATTATCGACGCGTGGAGGGAGATTCTGAGTTAGGGTCTTTTGGGAATGAACAAGGAAGGCGTAATTAAGAGCAGCAGCCGAGTCGGACGCCTGGGTTGAGGGCGGCGAGGAGGAACATGGTGCAGCAGAGGGCTCCGGATCAGACATGGTAAATAGCCGTAAGCCGAGTTAACAACATAGGAGGACGGGGAGGGAGAGCAAGAGGGAATGCGTGGAGAGAAAGTAGAAAAGGAAAGGTAAAGACGCGGGCCGTGATCTAAGTAAAATGGCGAGGCGGACGTGAGCAGGAGATCCGGTGTGATGTGGGAACGATTCCCCAACCCGGAGAAAAAAAGACGCTTCATCTAATCGCGTCGCGATGTGGACGCGGGCGGGCACCGCGGAGGCGTGGTAAGTGTATAGTATCCTCGTAAACCCGGTACTGTATGGTCCAGTTCCTCCGGCTGGTTCTCCGCTCTGATTTTCTGCGGCTCGGCCGATTCTCCGCCCGCACGAGGGCGAGGCTTTCCTTTCTTTCATTCCAGAGAATGTCCCCATGTCCCTCCCCCCTTGAGTCGAAGCCCTCTTCCCTTGCTGATTGGATCTGCAGGCTGTCCTTGTCTTATCATTGTGAATGAAGTCACTTTTTCAATCTGTCTATGTAACTATCCATTGATGAATGCTTGCTTTGCTGCAGTTCAACCCACCCACACTTCCACCCCAAAGGGTCCTCAATAGAGACAGTAACTACTACGTACTACTAGTGCATGTAACGGTCGTTCCAGGCGAGCGGAAATATCACCACCGCCTCCCGCCACCGCGCGTAGCGTTTTCTAACTTAGTATTCTTTTCTTGCTTTCTTTACAGTATGTATAACCGGGTCTCGCGCAATCGCAATCGCGCTTATTGACGTGTTTTCGGTATTCCATTTATTGATGGTCGTTCGTTGACAAAACATATCGCGATACAAATGCTACTTCCGTATTGATCATAACAATTTACTATTTTCGGGATGGATTTCGTGTTTTTTCACTTGTTTGTTGTTTTGCTTCTGGGTGTTTGTTACGGGTACAAATAAACACAACCTACCACCAAACTTTTCCTACTAGTAACTACTACTAGTAGTAGTGGTTACTGCATAAGTTACTAAATAAGCAAAAGACATGACCAATTCTTTCAATGTCAATTCCTATTAACTCTCTTCTCCCCCCCCCCCGGCACCCCCCCTCCCACCCAAAATCCAAATAATAATCATGATAAATAGTAGATCACCCCTCAACCTGATTCATATGACTCGGAATATTCCACGGATCGTAATCGATATGCACGAAAGCCCTATCCACCGTAGGCACACTCTCCACCATATACTGCAGACTCTCCCCAACATCATGGCTATCCTGAAGTCGTGTTTTCGGGTCCAGGACAATATCCACCTCGACGTTGAGTCGATCCCCAGCGTAATACGCCTTTAGATCTTGGATCTTGAGAATCGCTTTCGAGAATCGCATCGTCATGTATAGCAGGATACTGTGGTCTTTGGGTGATGCTGCCGCGCCGGTTAGGTGGCCGATGTGTTCGCTGGCTGTGGCGCTCCAGTTGTAGATTATGTAGAGGGAGAGGAGAAGACCGCCTAGCGGGTCGATGTACCAGGTTTTGGTTAGGGAGCCGACTTGGGTTGGGCAGGTTAGTGGTGTGGTTTGCCCTGGGGTTGGGGGAAGTTATTAGGGAGGGAACTTACTCAAGGGGAAGAGAATACTGAACAAGTTGAAGACCACGTCTGTCATGGCGTCTTGAGCTAGGGCCTGGACGCTTGAGTTCTTGATCAGTCGACACCAGAACCAGCAGATGAGCTTGACGATGACTGTGCTGGCCATGACAGCTATGGAAGGAAGGGATAGGTCGACGACGGAGCGGTCGGTGGAAATGAGGCGTGTAAAGGAGGTGAGTGCGACTTGCACGAAAGAAGTCACCATCACGACAGCGAAGACTAATACGCTGAGTGGTTCGAGTCGACGACGACTGATCGGGTATCGGGAGCGGTCTTGTCGACGGATCAGGGTGGTCGTGATCCAGACTATGGCTGTGCTGAGGAAGTCCAATGCCCCGTCGACTAAGCTGGCCAGGACGGATAATGAGTTTGTCATGGTCATGGCGACAATCTTTGCGACTAGGAGGAGGACGTTGGCGACGAAGTTGACGTAAATCGCAACGGTGACTATCCGGTCGCTGCTGTCGACGAACTCATCGTTTGATGGTATGATGTCTGGGGGTGATGCTGCTCGTTCTTCGATCGTCGGGGGCAGGAGCGGAGAGGTCTCGCTCTCGCTGGGAATGCGATAGAGATTCCGGGGCGTTCTTTTGATTTTGCCGGATGCTTGAGAGTCTGCTGTTCCGTAGGATATTGGGTCATATGCCCGGC